AAATGAACTGATGTAGCATACAATGAACCCAATCTTTGTTGAAACATTTGTATGAAATCAATATTTAACTCTCACAGGAAGCCTTATCTTCTGTCTCACAGAACAACAGGATTTTATGACCATGTATTAACTGTATCCAAACCCTACAGAAATATCATATTTACTTTCCATTTCTTAAGAAATCGTTATTTTTCACATTTACACACATACCAATGATGATTTTTCCAATCATGGCAATCAAATCAATGACAAATTTCCTTAGAATGTTTTTCTTTATTTGGACCTGGGAAGAAATCAACAGTATTGTTCAATTCCCAAACCTATTTCATTTGATCAATGATGGAGCACCCTCTGAGATACCAACAAAGCAGTAACACAGTTAACGTTTCACTGCAAGAGTTCATCGTCAAACTGACTTAAAGTCACTAGGTTTTAATCATCAGAACGTCTCCCTGTTGTACAAGCTTTGACTGTGACAATCGTGGATAAACAGCGACGTTATGAACAGGAGATATGAGAGGGACCATATAATGTCAGCCTCAGTTGGACAAACTCCTCCACGATATATAACATCATCTGTCATCCCGGAAACGCTGCCATGGCAACAAACGAGTTTCTTGATATCTCATTTGATCTGAAGTGGAAGGCTTCAACACATTTGAGAGAAATGGTTGTCATGGAAATGTAATTAACCAATCAAATTTATTGCAAAATAGTAACACGTTTAATTGAGCAACCCTTTTAAACTATGAATTAAGTAAGCGAGGCTCTCAATCTCTCCCTCCTATCCTGCAAGATCAATGGTAGAATTAAGTAAGCGAGGCTCTCAATCTCTCCCTCCTATCCTGCTAGATCAATGGTAGAATTGTATTGTTAACCTGTGACCATGACCTTATAGAGCATGCCTATATTCAACTTGTCATGTTTAGGTTAAAGAAATGTTGTTTTCAAAAAATACAGCTACTAGAATGGTGACAAGAAGTTCTATTTTCAGTAACAGTGACCTAGTTTTACCCATCATGCCAATATTATATGTGACCCTAGAATGCTTCCATATACTACTTTGTATTGTTGCTGTCTATTGCATATCAATGTTTTTCCTTTCAAAACAACACTTTTCTATTTTTTTTTGTTTATCACAAGTTATCTATTCATTGTAAAAGGGTGTAACATTGACATGTCACACAATCTCAGAAAGTATGTGTGACCTCTACTATACCAATGATACATATAACTACATCCAGCCGAAGATAGTATGTGTGACCTCTACTGTACCAATGATACATATGTAAATACATCCAGCCTAAGATAGCATGTGTGTCCTCTACTATACCAATGATACATATAAATACATCCAGCCTAAGATAGTATGTGTGACCTCTACTATCCCAATGATACATATAATTACATCCAGCCTAAGATAGCATGTGTGACCTCTACTATGCCAATGATACATATAATTACATCCAGCCTAAGATAGCATGTGTGACCTCTACTATACCAATGATACATGTAATTACATCCAGCCTAAGATAGCATGTGTGACCTCTACTATACCAATGATACATGTAAATACATCCAGCCTAAGATAGCATGTGTGACCTCTACTATACCAATGATACATATAATTACATCCAGCCGAAGATAGTATGTGTGACCTCTACTATACCAATGATACATATAATTACATCCAGCCGAAGATAGTATGTGTGACCTCTACTATACCAATGATACATATAATTACATCCAGCCGAAGATAGTATGTGTGACCTCTACTATACCAATGATACATATAATTACATCCAGCCGAAGATAGTATGTGTGACCTCTACTATACCAATGATACATATAATTACATCCAGCCGAAGATAGTATGTGTGACCTCTACTATACCAATGATACATATAATTACATCCAGCCGAAGATAGTATGTGTGACCTCTACTATACCAATGATACATATAATTACATCCAGCCGAAGATAGTATGTGTGACCTCTACTATACCAATGATACATATAATTACATCCAGCCGAAGATAGTATGTGTGACCTCTACTATACCAATGATACATATAATTACATCCAGCCGAAGATAGTATGTGTGACCTCTACTATACCAATGATACATATAATTACATCCAGCCGAAGATAGTATGTGTGACCTCTACTATACCAATGATACATATAATTACATCCAGCCGAAGATAGTATGTGTGACCTCTACTATACCAATGATACATATAATTACATCCAGCCGAAGATAGTATGTGTGACCTCTACTATACCAATGATACATATAATTACATCCAGCCGAAGATAGTATGTGTGACCTCTACTATACCAATGATACATATAATTACATCCAGCCGAAGATAGTATGTGTGACCTCTACTATACCAATGATACATATAATTACATCCAGCCGAAGATAGTATGTGTGACCTCTACTATACCAATGATACATATAATTACATCCAGCCGAAGATAGTATGTGTGACCTCTACTATACCAATGATACATATAATTACATCCAGCCGAAGATAGTATGTGTGACCTCTACTATACCAATGATACATATAATTACATCCAGCCGAAGATAGTATGTGTGACCTCTACTATACCAATGATACATATAATTACATCCAGCCGAAGATAGTATGTGTGACCTCTACTATACCAATGATACATATAATTACATCCAGCCGAAGATAGTATGTGTGACCTCTACTATACCAATGATACATATAATTACATCCAGCCGAAGATAGTATGTGTGACCTCTACTATACCAATGATACATATAATTACATCCAGCCGAAGATAGTATGTGTGACCTCTACTATACCAATGATACATATAATTACATCCAGCCGAAGATAGTATGTGTGACCTCTACTATACCAATGATACATATAATTACATCCAGCCGAAGATAGTATGTGTGACCTCTACTATACCAATGATACATATAATTACATCCAGCCGAAGATAGTATGTGTGACCTCTACTATACCAATGATACATATAATTACATCCAGCCGAAGATAGTATGTGTGACCTCTACTATACCAATGATACATATAATTACATCCAGCCGAAGATAGTATGTGTGACCTCTACTATACCAATGATACATATAATTACATCCAGCCGAAGATAGTATGTGTGACCTCTACTATACCAATGATACATATAATTACATCCAGCCGAAGATAGTATGTGTGACCTCTACTATACCAATGATACATATAATTACATCCAGCCGAAGATAGTATGTGTGACCTCTACTATACCAATGATACATATAATTACATCCAGCCGAAGATAGTATGTGTGACCTCTACTATACCAATGATACATATAATTACATCCAGCCGAAGATAGTATGTGTGACCTCTACTATACCAATGATACATATAATTACATCCAGCCGAAGATAGTATGTGTGACCTCTACTATACCAATGATACATATAATTACATCCAGCCGAAGATAGTATGTGTGACCTCTACTATACCAATGATACATATAATTACATCCAGCCGAAGATAGTATGTGTGACCTCTACTATACCAATGATACATATAATTACATCCAGCCGAAGATAGTATGTGTGACCTCTACTATACCAATGATACATATAATTACATCCAGCCGAAGATAGTATGTGTGACCTCTACTATACCAATGATACATATAATTACATCCAGCCGAAGATAGTATGTGTGACCTCTACTATACCAATGATACATATAATTACATCCAGCCGAAGATAGTATGTGTGACCTCTACTATACCAATGATACATATAATTACATCCAGCCGAAGATAGTATGAGTGACCTCTACTGTACCATTGATACATATAATTACATCCAGCCGAAGAAAGTATGTGTGACCTCTACTATACCAATGATACATGTAATTACATCCAGCCGAAGATAGTATGTGTGACCTCTACTATACCAATGATACATATAATTACATCCAGCCGAAGAAAGTATGTGTGACCTCTACTATACCAATGATACATATAACTACATCCAGCCGAAGATAGGAATTAGGGTGCAATTACTTCCTCTTTAACTGGTATGATTACGTAAATAGGTGGCGCTACTTGTGGGATCTGCACATACAAATTATCACCTTTGCATGTTATTCAGGTAACACAGGTAACTCAGAGAGAACATATTAATGTTTTTTTCAACAGCAAATTTGAAATAGTGAAATACTTCTTTGTACAAGACGAGAATTCTTGTGTATGTTGTAGTAATTGGAAGGTGGATAAACATCAGGAAGTGCCTATGTTGCTAGAGAATGCAGATACGTATTTGAGTTATTTGTAAAATTGGATCAAATAGGAGAGAATACGCTGTTCCTGCAGATTCATATCTGGTATTTTGTACCAAACCCAATGGGATTATAATAATTACTATAATTTCTCTGTGGAACTATACACCATTCTACATAAATAATATATACCTGATATTACACATTGTGCCATTATCAACATTACTGACAGTTGGGTATCCATGCAACAAATCCATCCCTCTGTCAGCTGATCAGACTGGTAGCAGGACTTGTTACTAATGGTTGTAAAGCCTTGGAGTTTGTGATTGACATTTTACACAAAATAACAAATACAAGTGACTCACAGTGTACAGTATTCCCTCAAACACATGTTAAGTTTCTCAGGTCCCTTAAATTACTGTGGTCCAAACAATTTCACCTGCTGGATCAGTGTCGCTCTGTTATATTGGAGGACACGGTGGTCTGACACTCGCCCTCGAAGGCCTGCTTTAATTCTCCCACACCTCAAAGGTGTTCAACTGGGAAAATTGGCATTTAAAAGTAGACAAACAAGTCAATACGCATAAATGCCTCCTGACTCCAAAAAGGGAGATAATAAACAATATAAAGACAAGCTATCTCAATATCAAAGTGAGTTGACTAACATTTAAACATCTAAAGACAACTCGATAACAAAGGGAAGTAACTTACTATTCAAACACCATGTATAGCATTCCCTCTGAGCTATATGTCTCCAAGAGCTCCACTATGTGTTGTTGTTTCAGCATGTGACAAATGCTCGCCTCCCTTTTCAGGTCTGAAAAATATTAAATCATTGACATTTTAATCTGAAATTGAATTTGGATTTTTATTTTACTGTATACTGCAATTTTTAAAAGACTATTGATAAATGTATTAGATCACGATGATAAAGTCATATAGGTACTGGAAAATAGTATAGCTCATCTATTCCAAATGTCTTTAAATACTTAGGTCAAAACAGGTGAAAAATTTGTTAATAACACTTCACAGGTACACCCATTTTTGCCAGGGAAATGATAAAGCTGTCATGATCTACCTAAACAGCACTGCATCAATGTCTGACCCTAGGATCCAGGTCAATGTTCAGTTACCCAGTGCAAATACGGGAAATGATAATATCAATAAATGATAAACACTAACACTTTAACAGCTCCAACACTGATGTGACTATACATATTAGTTTCCCAAGCCTCCTTCCTGATTCTTTGAGCAGACAATTAGCTAACACAAAATTCCGAACAACAAAATAGAAATATTTTGTATCAATAAGAATGAAAAATCTATTAATTGGTAAGATATTCTTATACAGATTAATACCATCAATTTACTATGGGTTAGCATTCCATGCAAGAATTAATATAAGGTAGTACAGTATTGTTATTCCAACAGCTCTACAGCATACAAATACTTTCTTATACAATCCAATCAGAGTTATCTCCCTTCCCTCACAAAACCTTTCTCATCATCTTAAACACTCAATATTGAGCAAAATGAACCCATTCATCCACCCATCAATCCATCTGTCCATACATTCATTCATTCATTCATTCATTCATTCATTCATTTACATCAAATCAATGCATTCCCTAGTGTAACTTCATTTCCTATTTCTGTTATCCTGTCGCCGTTACATACTTACCTTCAGTTCCAAGCCCAGGACTGGATGTGAATTTAGCCACATCCACGATCTTGACTGCGAACTGTTGCCCTGTGTCTTTGTGTACACATCGCTTGACCACACTATAGGGACCCCTGTAAATAAGAACAATCACATTACATATCTTGACCACACTATAGGGACCCCTGTATATAAGAACAATCACATTACATATCTTGACCACATTGTATGGACCCCTGTAAATAAGAACAATCACATTACATATCTTGACCACACTATAGGGACCCCTGTATATAAGCACAATCACATTACATATCTTGACCACACTATAGGGACCCCTGTAGATAAGAACAATCACATTACATATCTTGACCAAACTGTAGGGACCCTTGTAAATAAGAACAATCACATTACATATCTTGACCACACTGTAGGGACCCCTGTAAATAAGAACAATCACATTACATATCTTGACCTCACTGTAGGGACCCCTGTAGATAAGAACAATCACATTACATATCTTGACCACACTGTAGGGACCCCTGTAAATAAGAACAATCACATTACATATCGTCATAGGAAATCCTATGTCACTTACATCAATATTGACATTCTGTTGAAGACATACAGAGTTCAATTAAAATGCAAAATTTCAACATGTTTGACAATACAAGAGACAACAGAAAGAGATAATATTACTGTCAAGTTACTGTCAAGTTACAAGAGTTTAAACTCACATCAATTTTAGGTCTGGGGTGTGACATCATGCAATACATTTAGGTCTGGGGTTTGACATCAATACATTTAGGTCTGGGGTGTGACATCATGCAATACATTTAGGTCTGAGGTGTGACATCATGCAATACATTTAGGTCTGGGGTTTGACATCAATACATTTAGGTCTGGGGTGTGACATCAGTACATTTAGGTCTGGGGTGTGACATCAATGCATTTAGGTCTGGGGTGTGACATCAATACATTTAGGTCTGGGGTGTGACATCAATACATTTAGGTCTGGGGTGTGACATCAAT